TCCATACCAATTCATAATTACTCAAAACAGGTGTTATACTTGTGTTTTTCAACTTTTACTTTATATGTTTAATGATGAAAAAACTTTTTTATCATGCTACTTTATACATCTTCTGTACTACTTTTCAGAGGAAAATACTGTACTTTTTACTCCACCACATCTAATTAACAATTCAAGGATTCAAGATCTTTTACTGGTCACAAACACAGTTGTACATGTACATATGATGCACAGTGAAATGCATTGTGGACCTGTTCCACACCAAAACAATAATAGGATAAATAAGAATAAGGAATAAAACACACAAGAAATAATATATATATATATATATATATATGAATGTATACATATATATATGAATGTGAAGAATTACTTTACAAATCAAGATTTTAGCATTCAAATGAAGAGCTTATAAAATATANAATAGAACCCATTTTTCTAGGGTAAACTTACATTACAACAGATGCACTATTTCTGAATGAGGGGCAGAACACAGACATGTTTAGATATTTCACATGTGGTTGCAGCCCGATGAACTCCTCAACTGGTTCATTTCATGGGAACAGCAAAGGAAGCATCTCACCCAGTGACACGTGTAGTTCTGAAATCACACAGCTATCAGCCTTATTCAGGGTTTTTCCTGCACAGAAGAATTTTTTTGCCCTCAATAAGGTTTAAGTCGACCCCTTGTGTAACACAGGTTATGAATATGGAGGAATTGACAAATAGTGAAATGTTATTAGTTAACTGTATTCAGCATTGAGTTCAGTACAAGATACAATAAGAGATGATGTTGGGTTATAATTTGATGTTGTATATCTTGCTGACTCAATGAGATACCAGTGTAACCAAATAGTAATCTGAGGGAAACGTTATGACCTTATCCATTAGGTCAGGTTTTTGTGAAGGGAGGAATTGGACAGAACAGAGCAGGACCAGAAGTTCCAGTGAGCTGGAAGCCGAGCCACCCACCCTGGAGATCCTAGTCCGAGAGAGAGTGAGATAGAGCGATCCAGTCTCTGAACTGAGGATTACCCACACTAACTGTACTCTGGTTTGAAAGTACTCATCGATACACTGACTCATTGGACCTCATTGAACGGATGTACACACACACACTGGGCCCCAACGATTTTTTTTTTCTTTCAGTAAAGGACAGAAAGCACTTTGTATTTTTTTTTTTCCAAGTGTGCACACTTAAGTTGTCTAATTTTATTTGTTTTGGGTATCTGAATTTCACACTGTGACATTTCCTATGTTTTAAATATAATCATTCATATGCCATTACTATGTGTGGTGTTCATTATTGTCATTCATTCACCCAAGGCTCCAGTCGTTCCAAAGGATCTTCTGACACTGGTCCATTATAATCTGCTTTGAATTCATCCGTACCAATTCATAATTGTGTTTTTGAACTTTTACTTTATATGTTTAATAATGAAAAAACTTTTTTTTATCATGCTACTTTATACATCTTCTGTACTACTTTTCAGAGGAAAATACTGTACTTTTTACTCCACCACTTCTAATTAACAATTCAAGGATTCAAGATCTTTTACTGGTCACAAACACAGTTATACATGGTATGATGCACAGTGAAATGCATTGTGGACCTGTTCCACACCAAAACAATAATAAGATAAATAAGAATAAGGAATAAAACACACAAGAAATTATATATATATACACACATTTATATATAAATATGAAAAATTACTTTACAAATCAAGATTTTAGCATTCAAATGAAGAGCTTATAAAATATAATGCTTTGTTATAAATTAAACTGCAAATAGTAAATGAACAGATCAACTAAAGGTATCAGGTAGTTGAAAGTATTTGGCAGTTTTTAAAAATTTGTCAAAAGTACATTTTTAGGTAAAAATGCTTAATATTTCATGGGTTCAGCATCTTGAATTAGTGAATGGTTAATTTTGGTTACAATCTACAGTACAAAATTTGAATTGTGAGCAATCAGCTGACAAAAAAAATATTATACATACTTGCATTAACATTTTTTTTCCTTACAAAAACCTTCTTGCTGCGAGGCAACAGTGCTACCATATGCGCCACCTTCTAGCCCATGAAAGAAACCATCTATGTTAAACTGAAACAGCCATTCATCTGCTACACCATATATCAGGTACTTATAATACAGTCCTGAGATCTTTCCCAGAAGTTTAACCTCCACTATCACTAATAATGCAATGCAATAATACATGTAACCAGTTGGGTTTTTTGAGAAAAAATTAACAGGTGAAGTTTAGATTTTAGCTGCAAGAAGATCGTCGGTTCACGTCCTGGTGAGGACACCCGGGATCTTTCTGCGTGGAGTTTGCATGTTCTCCCCATGCAGCGTGGGTTCTCTCCGGGTTCTGCGGCTTCCTCCCACAAGGTCCAAATGTTGAGGTTAACTGGTGATTCTAAATTGTCCATAGGTGTGACTGTGAGTGTGCTTGGTTGTCTGTCTCTAAGTGTAGCCCTGTGATAGACTGGTTACCTGTCCAGGTGAACCTGCCTTCACCCTAAGTCAGCTGGGATAGACTCCAGCCCCCCCGCGACCCTAATGAAGATTAAGCAGTGTGTAGATAATGGATGGATGCTCATATAGTAGTAGACTATCATCACGCATGGGCAGAATTTTCAGAGTTTAGGCATTCACAAATATACAATTTGTTATTTAACTGGACATCGTATCTTGACAATCTAGCATCAGTGTCAAATACTGTATCAAGGCGCTTTCTGTCGATGGGTTGGGTGTGTTTGAATGAAGTTGTGAGGGAACTCGTCAGAAATGTGAGCTTTGTTCTCAATGACAGAATACCGTATCATTAACAGTTTAATAAAAATAGCAATGATCCATATCTCATGTCAGGGCGTATGTCAAAATGGATCATCTTTAAACAGAGGGGAGCTGTATAACACTACTTATCAGGTATAACACAGTCTTCAGATCCCTTCCTAAAGAGATTCACAACCAAGTTCAAACAACATTTCCCACTGGAAGAAGGAATGACAAAGGGGATCAACACACACCTAAAATAGGAATATGAGCAGGAATTCAACACAAAGACAAATCAGGAAACTGGAAAAACTCATCAAAAGAAAAAGCAGGCTTGCACAAAAAATAATTAATGAGAAATGGGTATGTAACTTATCAAAACGCACACTTAGTGAGACAGAAAAGAGAGTACTAGCTTGAGGGCTAAACTATGCAGTCACACCAAAAAACATCCCACACCAGGATTTCATTTTAGCAACAGAATTGGCTTGTCAAAAGATCAAAGAACCGGGACAAAAAGCAGAACTACAGAACACCATTGCAGGGATTTTAAAAACCACAAAACTACCACAAAGAAACATCCAAAAAGATGAAGAAAAAGCAATACACACACTTAATACAGACAAAACCATCACCATATTACCAGCAGACAAAGGCAGAACAACAGTAATCGTGGACACGGAAACGTACAAAACCCACATCGTTCAAACAACATTTCCCACTGGAAGAAGGAACTTATACCTAGTTTCACAACCAATCACATCTCAAGGTGTGTGAGATTCGGGTTGTTAATTGGCTATTAGCAATGACATTTTGGAGTAGCAATATAATGTACAGTATGTCACAAAAGTAAGTACACCCCTAACGCCCTCAAGTGAAAATGTCTAAATTTGGTCCAATTAGCCATTTTCCCTCCCCGTTGTCATGTGACTCGTTAGTGTTAAAAGGTCTCAGGTGTGAGTGGGAGCAGGTGTATTAAATTTGGTGTTGTTGCTCGCACCTCATGGCAAAGAACTCTGAGGATCTGAAAAAAAGAATTGCTGCTCAACATAAAGATGGCCTAGGCTATAAGCAGGTTGCCAACACCCTGAAACTGTGCAGCAGCACGGTGGCCAAGAACATACAGCGGTTTAACAGGACAGGTTCCACTCAGAACAGGCCTCACCATGGTCGATCAAAGACGTTGAGTGCAATGTGCTCAGCATCATATCCAGAGGTTGTCTTTGGAAAACAGACGTATGAGTGCTGCCAGCATTGCTGCAGAGGCTGAAGGGGTTGGGGGTTCAAGCATGTCTCCATCTGTGGGGCATCCTCAAACAAGGTCTCCAACATCCACCAGCTCCGTGATGTCGTCATGGAGGGGTGGAAGAGGTTTCAAGTGGCAACCTGTGGAGCTCTGGTGAACTCCATGGCCAAGAGGGTTAAGGCAGTGCTGGAAAATAATGGTGGCCACACAAAATATTGACACTTTAGGCCCAATTTGGACATCATCGCTTAGGGGTGTACTCACTTTTGTTGCCAGCAGTTTAGACATTAATGGCTGTGTACTGAGTTATTTTGAGGGGACATTAAATTTACACTGTTAAACAAGCTGTACACTGACTATATGGTAGCAAAGTGTCATTTCTTCAGTGTTGTCCCATGAAAAGATATAAGAAGTCAGTATAGAGCTCTTGGATCAAAGTTGAAACCTCTTCAAAAATGAGAAGGACAAATGTAGCTGCTTTCTCCCAAAGATCAGCAGATTACTGCACAATGAAACTCATAAATATTTATCATTTATAGAAAATGTAACCATCTACAACAGCATGAATTCATGGATAACAGTAAATTCATTATTTTGGCTTTTATATAAAACTAATATAATGTAGGAACTGAACTCGTATACTGTCATTTTTATTTTTTTGCACAATGCACATTTTTACATTTTATGCGGATACTTTTCTACTTATAAAGATATTTTTAGGACATATTTCTTCGACTTGTGTTTATCTTTTTATTTTGCTTAAGACTTGATTGGGAGCAGCGGTAACGTAACTTCCCCTCTGGATCAATAGAATATTTCATTACTTTTCCTAACTTTATTTATATCTTTGTACTCATGCAGTTTTTTAAACGCAGTGAAGCACCTAGCATGAGGAACTACTGTAACACTTTCCAGCGTGTTATTTTGACATCTGCATGCAGGCTCGAGCTTCCCCTTTAAATTCCCGCAGAGCCTACTTCCGCCTGAGGCCCCGCCCACCGCTGCTCAAAAAGCTCCGGTCCTCACCTGGTCCCGTGACTCCGCTGGCTGCTGTCAACATGCTGGTTCTGCTCAAGTTTGTGGTGTTGCTGCTGGCTCTGGGTTCGGGTCAGGCCCGGCAGCCCCATGTCGTCGTGGAGGACGCAGAGCCCGTGTTCGAGCCCTCCAAGTTCGGCTCTCTGTGGCCTCTGCCGCAGAAACTGAAAAGCACTCAGGATGCGTTCAAGTTGACGAGCTTCAGGATCGTTGACGCCAAGGACTCGTCGGCTGGTCCGAGCTGCAACATTCTGCAGAACGCCTACAGGAGGTTTGTGCTGCTTACTGGGAAGGTTTATTGAATGGTTTAGGGGTTTTTATTTCTTGTTTGCTTGAAATCACAGCGCCGTGCTGCGTTCATGGACTGGTTTCAGCCCTCTGTCTTTCTCTGTACAGGTACTATGAGTACATGTTTGGCGCTGGTCAGAAGCAGGGGGTGTTCAAACTCAGGAGGAGTGGGCCCTCAGACCTGACAGGGCTGCAGGTCTGGATCACATCAGCTGACTCTGAATGTGACGGTTATCCCTCTGTGAAGTCCGACGAGTCATGTGAGTCTCTGCCCTTCCTGATTGTCATCTGTTCCTGGTGGCTTCAGTGGAACTAAGTCAAGCTGCTCTGCTGCTGGTTTACCTATAAACTGCTCTATAACAGCTTTACTCACTAGTTACTTTACACAAACATGAACTAAGATTGCAAATATGATTCATTCTAACATGTACCAGCTCAAAACGGTATGAAATAGTTAAAATTAACAGTAAAATACTCTTTGCTCTTGAATGCACCACCAAGAGTCATCCTGTAATGTGGTAAGAATGTAGAGAAGTAGACCCAGTAGCAGTAGAAAGGTTGTTTTTTGTATTATGAGCACTTTCAATGCATTCCTCCTTTCTGCTAATGCTTACTAGGGTTATGTTCCCAATATAACTGTGTACTTTAACACATAAAAGATTATTTGGTGCCACCAAAAAAGTTTTTTAGGCAACACCAAAGGAAAATCATCAAAATGATTAGAATGGAGAGTGGAAATAGCTAAATTTAACCAGGTTTTTTGTTCATTGGGGTTTCATTTACTCTAACATGGTATTTGATCAATGTGCCTTGTTTATTAATTCTATATTATGAAGTGATTAATCCCTCATCTATTTACAGTAATACTGTGTGCGTCCCTCTCAACTCCATAAACTTCATGTACTGTAGGGCTGCAACTAAAAAATATTTTCATAGTTGATTAATCTGTTGATTACTTTCTTGATTCGCAGATTAATAGTTTGGTCTGTAAAAGGTCAGAAAAGGGTGAAAAATATTTCCCGAAAACGACATCCTCAAATGCCTTGTTTTGTCGACAGCCCAGAGATATTCAGTTTACTGTCATAGAGGAAAGAAGAAAAAAAACAGGAACTATTCACAGTTAAGACACTGGAATCAAAGAATTTAGACTTGTTTTTTCTAAAAATTAACTCAAAGTGAATCTATAATCAAAACCGTTAAGTAGCTTGAGTGATATTTTAAATGTGAGGCTTTTGCTGGAGTGTTTTTATGTTACAGTAATGCGACTTTTGCTTACAATGATCTGAATACTTTGTCTGTCGCTGCTTCTGCAGAAATGAAAGTTGCACTCTCCTCTGCTGATTAATAGTGATGTTTATGTGCTGCTCTTCTCGGTTTCTTTGTGGTTTAAAGTGCAATCAAGTAAAACGAACTACCTTACAATACAGTGGTGGGCACTAACTAACTTGTAAATCATTTACTGAAGTACACAATGTTGAAGTACACCATGAGCAGCTGTAGTCGGATTTGAATCAGGGTTTTACTTTGAAAACAGGTTTATCTCATGGAACACAGCTCATTGTAGTGTTTTTCCCAGTTGCTTTTGTACATTTCTTGACTCATCTTTAACATTTGTGAAATAATAAGTGTATTTCTTACAACAAATGGTACCAGATAATCAACGGCATGTAACAGCTTAGCTGGCTTAGACGTCTGAGTTTATCTCTAAATGAGGTATTTATCAATGAATACATGGGTGACTTCATAAACAAGTCCTTGCATCATTGTTTACATACAAGATAGTCAAAATGCTTAGTCATATTGTCAATATAACAGCAGCAATATTACAGCACAAAGGGATAACAGACATCACTGCGGACGCCTGCAGAGGCTGGATAAGACATTCCAAAAGATAGTTACTGAGCTGCTTTGCAAGGGAAGATATTGTTGATGATGTGGACCAGATAGACAGGAACATTTGGAGGTGTAGAAAGACTGCAGACACACAGTGTGTACAGTTGTACCTGTGTTTGCAGTTCTACTTTTGTGTTTTTCTGCTTTGTGCTTTGCAGTGCTGTATAACAGTCATGGGTTTCTTTTCTGTCTAGCAGTGACTTGGTTATGTCGACAAAAAACAAAAACAGCATGTATAGTAATGAACAGAAAACTGTGAGGACTGGTTCAACCACGTTGTGTGTCATGACTTGATGAATGAACTATGGCCTGGCTGTTTTGAGGGGCAACACTAATGAACAGAGAAGCAGCATATTACAATTTGATCAGCATGATGTAGGTTCTTGATAGAGTAGGGAGAGGCAGGGAGAGGTACCTCATCATTTACATGAGTGTACATTTGTAATTTATTCATACGGATGAGAAATTGCTTCTATGATGTGCACAAGTGACTACATGGCGTTGAGGTTGAACAAGTAGATCTGAGAAACAAACCAAAGAGTCTGGAATCAATCAGAATAAAGATTGAACTACATTTAACTTTTTTGATCTCCTAAAAAATAAAAGTGTCTTGTTGGGTCGAATTTGTATCATTTTCTCTTTAAACAACTTCTCAGATGGTTTCATTTTGGTGCGTCACAAAAAAGCTTCAAGAAAAGTCTAAAAAGTGAATGCAGATTTGTGAATAAGAGCAGTTATGTCTATTTATTCTCCCATTAGTCACGACTCAACCCTCTCAGATTATGTTGTGAACCTTTTAAAGGTCCACAGGTGGAGAACCACTGGACCGAGCTGTAAATGAAGTATTTAAAATGACCTTGACAATAAAATGCTGCTTACTCACTGAGTCATCAGTGTTCCAATCTAATAGTGTAATATACTGTATAACAGCAGCCACAGCAGCATTTTCTGGTCAGATTCTTAAGATAATTGGGAATTTGATTACACAACAGTTTAAATTAAATGGATTATCTTGTTTTTTTGTGCTTTTACTCAAACAAATGTACTTGATGCTGCCAAAGCAAGCAGTCATAGCCATGTTTTCTGAAAATGTATATATTACCTGGACAGCAAGTACTGGGATTAAAACGGGTAATTTAGAACAAATATGTGAAGCCCTTCTTAAGACTCTGACTTGACTACCATCATAACCAACAGCTGAGGTTGACAGAGCTGGAACTGTGCATCTAATGTATGACTGTTTATGTCTGCAGATGAACTGTCAGTGATTCAGCCGTTCGCTGTCTTGAAGGCACCGAAGGTCTGGGGAGCCCTGCACGGTAGGATTGTATTCATACCTTTATTACACTACTTTACAGCATGCTCTTTATCAGGGCAGCAATGCACTTTTTTTTTTTTTTTTAATCTTTTGGGCTATAGCAGAACAAAAATAAGAACTATCCATCACAGTCTCTGAAAGCCCATGATATTATGGGTAAAAAATTATATTTTGTGGTCTAGATTTCAGATATGTTCATATTACAGTGATTTTTTAAAAAAGTAACAACATTCTGGCTTCTTGAAGCTAGAAATGGTGCCAAATAATATGCAAAAAGAATCAAATCATCACTATTTTAACAGATATTGATGCATCACATTTAGTGGTCTTTCTTTTTTTCATTTCTTTACCATTCAAAAAAAAAAATTATGATTTTTGCCATAACTTGCAAGTACGTTCTCTCACATCTGGAAGATATGATTTGTAGGTCTGTAGCACCACAACGCTTCAGCTGTAATGGTATTTTAGAAGAGAAATAGAAAAATACTTTATTTATCTTAGGCCTGGGAAATTACTGCAACACATTTTTATCTTGATCAGAAAAGTGACATGAGATGATTGATACCGCTCATGTCTGTGAGCTAAATATGCTGCTATACCCAGAAGTTGCTTTGCTTTGCTCAGCTAGAGACAGGGTACAGAATGCCATCCAGCACCTCCTAATAATGCCTCTTTAATTAATTGGCACAAAAAAACAGTGTGTAGTGTAAAAAGAGTTTAAGTTTCATGGGGGGGGGGGTTATGTGCTTCGCTGCTTCTTGGCCAAGAGCTGTGACCTTCCAGTGTCTCCACTAGACACAACAAGACTAGGTCAAAATTACCAGACAGTCAGGAGAGTGGTGTCGATCACAAACACTCAGAAATATTCGTTGAGATGTTGTTAATTATATTTCAGCTGATCACATAATTGATTGACTAATAACTGCACTGCTACTCTGGACCACTGCAAACATATGATCAGATTGTAAAAGCTGTAACTGTGTGGTTTATCTCTGCATGTGTATGTACACAGTGTGTAACATGCATTTTAAAGTCTGATAAAATGCTGATTGGTAGAATCTCAATGCAAACTCAACATCAGCGATGTGACGGTCACTAAATGTTATGACCTCATAAAACCTTTCAGGAACTTCGTGTTTATTTGGATTTGCTGCTTCTCTTTTTTTTATTTTAGGTCTGGAAACGTTCAGCCAGTTGGTGTATGAAGATGAATATGGAGCTGTAAGTGAAGGACAGTTTGTTTCTCTGTTTATTCATACTGAGGACATTTTCTTATGTTTTTCGGTCACCTCTGTGAGCCACGTTTTAACTCCATCATTTTACTTCCTGTGTCTTTTCAGAAAAGCGTCAATGCAACCATAATCACTGACTTCCCCAGATTCAAACATAGAGGCATCCTGCTGGACACCTCTCGGCATTTTCTTCCTATTAAAGTCATCTTGGCTAATCTGGTATATGAGTAAAACCTTCCTATTTAATTTTCTCATTCATAATTTCATTTACTTTTTAACTAAATTTTTTTGCTGTGCTAATTCTTACAGGAAACGATGGCGATGAACAAATTCAACGTCTTCCACTGGCACATCGTCGACGATCAGTCCTTCCCTTACCTGAGCCGGACGTTCCCACAGCTGAGTCAGCAGGTCAGTAAGAAGATTTAGAGACGGTTCCTCAACAAAGTGATTCAGGGTGCAACTGAAATTAGTAGGGGAGCAGAAGTGTGGACACATAAATGTGATCATTGTCCCCAAAGAAGTGGTTTATAGAAGTCTACAGCTGCTTTTATCTGGCTCTAACAGTCATAGCGTAGTACATCTGTTGTAAAGGTAAATTAACAAATCCTTCTTTAGCCAAGGAAGGAGTTTGTAGATGTTTGACTTTGGCTTCCACATCCATTTTTTTGAATGTTTGTGCAACTGTCAATCTGTGTTGAGCGGCTTCCAAGAGCGCTGCAAGACGCATGTTCCATATTTATTGTTCAAATTTCAACTGAGGGTGCAAATCCTGCTCCGCATAGAGCTTTTCCTGACAGGACTGTTTGTCACAATCCACCAGCTCGTTCATTAAACTATTCACAGGGATCTTACCACCCGTACACCCACGTCTATACGCCCGCTGATGTGAAGATGGTGATCGAGTTTGCTCGCCTGAGAGGTATTCGTGTTGTCCCAGAGTTCGACACTCCAGGACACACACAGTCTTGGGGCAAAGGTGAGTTTGCAGAAGACAAATTTTATGAGTTTCTGCCATTTTTAAAAAAATGTTTTCCTGATTTCTGCTTTATTTCTTTCCCTCTCAGGCCAGCCAGATCTGCTCACACCTTGTTATTCTGGGCCCAAACCCTCTGGTGCCTTCGGACCAGTGAACCCCATCCTGAACACCACGTACGACTTCATGACTCAGTTCTTCAAGGAGATTAGCACAGTGTTCCCAGATGGCTACGTTCACCTGGGAGGCGATGAGGTGGACTTCACGTGCTGGTAAGACTGTGTGTTTAGAAACTTCTCATCAGCGTCAAAGATTAGACAACAGATATCAGCTGATGCTTTTTTGTCCTGCAGGAAGTCCAACCCGGACATTCAGAGGTTCATGGACGCACAGGGCTTCGGACAAGACTACAGCAAACTGGAATCATTCTACATCCAAAAGTGGGTTTATCATTTAGGTTCTGTTTCTCATTCAAATGTGAAACTATGCAATTTTTTTAATTTTTCTTTTGCCTGTTCTCTGATCCAACAGACTCTTGGATATTGTCACCACTACCAAGAAGGGCTACATGATCTGGCAGGAGGTGTTTGACAATGGTGTTAAGGTAAGATTGTTCCGTGCTAACTAGACCAAGAGGTTTGGTGAAATTTAAGTATTTTAATATTAAGTATTTGCACAGGTGATTTTTGTTTTGGATTTTGTTATTAAAGGAATAGTTAGACATTTTGACGGAGGTGCTCATTTGGTTTCTTGCTGAAAGTATAATTCAAAGATGAATACCACAGTCTAAATGTGCGAAATGTGAAGCCGGCAGCCACCTACCTGCACCTCGAAATGTCCATGATTAACTTGCTGTATCTCGTTTTGTTTTATCCAAACTACAGGCAAGACATTGCGGTCTAAGCACACACAATTTGTTAATAGGAGCTTTTAATGTGCTGGATTGTTGCCGTGTTCGTACGGAGCCAGGCCAGCAGTGTAGCTGTTTCAAGACTTGGTGTTCAGCTCTGCAACCTGGCTGCTCTATGCTTGATATATTCTTCTGCTGTGGCCTACATTGTAGCCTGACCTCCTGAAAAAGTAACATCAACACAGACTGCAACAACTGTGATTGGTCCGCTCAGTAGCAATATGCCACGAGATGTAATCTATAATAGGCTGTAGCTGTGTCTGGCAGCCAGTGAAGCCACGTGCCATTTTCTCATCTTCTATACCTCTACTAGTCCATCTGTAGACACAGTCGGACATTATAAGGAAGAAATTCACCACTTAAAGTATCCTTCATAGAAACCCGGAGGACAATTCCATAACCAACCCGCCCGCCTCGAAGAAGCTGCGTGCTTTGGAACGGTCAAACTGGTACAAACATCCAGAAAATTGTGTTGTTGCACTGTTGTGAAACTTTGCTTGTGTAGTACAAGTAGAACCTGTTGGGAAGAATTTTACTTTGGGGCAGAGTTACCAGATGTTTTATGAGATTCCACTGCTAATTCTAGACATGCAGTTCATATGTCCTAGTTACTAATATATTAATTATCAAATTGGCTACTGAGCGGCAAGACTTGTCTATGAAGACTTTGACTTAATCGGTTCTGACGACTTCCTCTTGCGTTGCAGTGTTTTAGTAAAAGTAGCTGCTCTTCAGCATTTAATTATTCCAACTCCAACATGATCCACTGCATTTAGCCCCCATTGTCTGAAGTACATGAAAATACTCAACACAGTATCATAGAACCACCACCTCTACCTGTCGATTTGGTGGCGTAACTGCAGAGCAACACATCATCCATCGCACAAGTATGAATTACAGCGTCGGCCACTATAATGACCAATGCAGAGGTATAAATCAAGCTTAGGGCAGCGTCCATATTTATGTATATACAAGTCGTATGGATCTTCTCATCCAGCTCTCAGCAAGAACGCAAAACCCCAAAATGTCAAACTATCCCTCCAGCCATAAACGATGACTCATGTAGCATCTAACCTAAGCGCAGCAGCTTGGCTTTAACAATTCCAGCTAAAACCAGACACAGTAGTACATGTGTGGATCGGCGGTGGAAGTAATGAGGAGATGGGCAAGGTGACGGCAGCAGGATACACCACCATCCTCTCCGCCCCGTGGTACCTAGATTATATTAGCTACGCACAGGACTGGCAGAAGTACTACAAGGTTGAGCCGCTCAACTTCAACGGTTAGTTTCAGAATCATGTCCTTTTCTTTAAATATGTTTAATCAATTAATCTGGTGGAGGAAAACTCTGAAGTGGGTTTTTGAGGCAACAAATTGTGTTTGTTCAACAGGCTTACGCTTGAAAGCTGCACAGTTGTGACAAGGAGAGTCAGTCTGACAGAAAGTGAACATGAGGCAGTGTGGTTGGTGGTTTCAGATGTTGTGTCTGTCGTGGGTTGTTGTTTCACCATTATGGAGGGCCAATCCCAAGGTATTTGAAATAATCTTGATCGGGGTGTTCAGAGTTTAGATCCATCGGTCAGGAGAAGATAAGCCAGGGTTGGTCCTCCATAAACTTGGCCCAAGATGATCGTTGCATTGAACCTTTTTTGATTTTAAGATGCTTCTTTAAAAGATTAAAACTCTAATCAAGTCAACTCACTCTTATTTATATAAACCCCTTTTAAAAGAACTAAAGATGACTCAAAGTGCTTTCCATTTGAGATAAAAGGTTAACATTACAAATTCATGACTAAAATTATGATCCCAAGGCGAATCAGAAGTTAAGGTCAAGACCATACAGCATTATAGATGAAAACCCCAGTGATTCCCATCGAGCACTTGGTGACAGTGGAACACAAACAGGGGAAAATACATTAATGTATCAGTGTCTCAAATGGAAGGCTCTGACATTTTCGTCTTCATCTTCCTGACTTTTCTCTTACTGATACTTGTATGTATGTGTGCTGTGTAGCTGAAACCAGACACAATTATCCACGTTTGGAAAGGAAACCAGCAGCAATACCAGAGTGAGATGGCAAACGTTACATCGTCAGGGTACCAGACCCTGCTGTCCACTCCCTGGTACCTGAACCGTATCTCCTACGGCCAGGACTGGAATGTCTTTTACAAGGCCGACCCGCAGGACTTTAAGGGTTGGTGTCTGCATGATTGACTTTGTATTTCCCTGCCCATTTTGACTGGTCGTCTTCATTCAGTATTTACAAGAGGGTGTTGGGACTTTGCCTCACTCACGAGTCTGTTTTATTGTTCTGTTGTTGTCTGGCTCAGAATTTATTTCCCTCTTGACCCAGATCTGACATGACAGGGAGTTGTCACTCCTGTGCGAATGTGTGTAAGCCTGTTGAATAAAGAGAAGGAAAACATCAAAACTTTAACAATCAGATGGGAGAAAATATGGTTGTGATTCAGTTAATTCAAGTATTTGATTTTGTTAATCACTCATCATGTGAAGTTTTAGATTCTGTGGCTGTTGAATTTACTTGACCTCATTAAATATGACCTCAAAAAACAGGAACTGAAAAACAGAAGGCGCTTGTAATTGGTGGAGAAGCCTGCTTGTGGGGAGAGTATGTGGATGCTACCAACCTTACACCCAGACTCTGGTGAGGCTCATGTGATCCCTTTAATAAATGCTTATCAGAAACTAAAAGTGTTTTGAACCTTGATGCATCACATGACGGATGTCTTTTCTGTTCTTCTTTCCTTTCGCCACTCCCAGGCCTCGTGCCAGTGCTGTGGGAGAGCGGCTGTGGAGCTCCAAAGATGTAACGGACATTAACGATGCCTTCAACAGACTGTCTGCTCACCGCTGTCGTATGGTGGAGTAAGTATCTGTAGACTCTTTATACTGTTAATCAGCACCAGTCTCCAAATGCAATATTATTCAGGGCTGTAGTCAACTAAAGAAAATCTCGGTTGACTGAAATCGTATCTGCTCCATAGCTGATCTATTGGTTGCAGGGAGGAAAAAAAATCCCTCAGACATGACACACTATACTAGTTAGCCTTATTGGCCGAAACGAATCACAAAAAGAAAAACAAGAAGTCTAGTTATTTCGTACTGAAATGACAACAGACCAGCCAGGCTGACCAGCATGCATCTGCCTGTGATTTCCAAAATTTCGTAGAGCTATTGAAAAGTTAGAGTCAAGAAAGTGTGTGACACGACTATACCAACTTCTTTAACATCCTCAAGGCTGTGTAACAGGAATTCGCCCCCTGGGATTACACTGTCAAGGCAGAGCGCTACACTAACACCCTGAGGAATGACCTGAACAGTGGCATGTGGGTGTTCCAACTGGGCTGTGCACCTGTACACAGCATGATGATTACCACAAGTTGGGTTTTTTTTTTTGCCCCAGCAATATAATAAACACTCCCAACTGCCCTAGAACTAGAGTTTGCTCCATGGGACTTCTTCCAATTGTTCCTCTTACCCAAAATGAAATTCAAGTTAAGGGTCTCTAGTGGCGGACGGTGCTTGGCATAATAGCATAATGAGACTTTCAGGGAGTGTTATAAGTGCTGCAGGAGCACTGGAAGCAGTGTAGTGCTGCACAAGGACACAAGTTCAATGGGGTTCTGAAGTCAGGTTTTTTTTCTTTTTGTTTCTTTTTTAAATGAGCACAAGTTGTAGAACTATATTAACTCATGATCCCAGCACAGGAACTACTGAAGTGTGTAGTGCAGTCAAGTTAACCTGAAGTTTTAAGATTCTATGTTGTTTTGATTGTTAAGCTGTAATATGCACACTACTGGTTGCACAGTTTACACTTCACCATCTGTTTTGATAAAATGCAGCCACACTGACTTCTTTGACAAGATAATAGCTAGGCTGGAGCACATATGTCAAACTCAAGGCCCGCAGGCCAAATCCGGCCCATCATGTCATTTTGTGTGGCCCACGAGAGACATGTGCTTCCTAATCTGATAAATTAATGGGAATTACCTGATATAATATAATGTTATAATAACACAGCAATGTGCCTACACAGGGCTCCAGACTGCGACAAAAATGTTCTCATATGTGACCATTTTTGAGCGTGTGCGAGTTAAAGTGTCATGGTCGCATTGTTACATGAAGATCAGCAGGCTGATCTGGTTCCTTCTATCAGCACAGGTAGCTGCTGCTGCAGTTATTGTGGTTGGAAATAGTCATATTTCTTTCACATTGACTCAGTCTCTCTCTGCCTGACGGGTAAAAGTCAGTTTCACTATTACCGTGTTCCAATGACAAAACAATACACAGCCGACCTGGAGCCCTGCTACATGTATTTTACTTTCAGGTGAAGGCATGCACAATAGTTGTACATATAATAAATATTTAAATGCAGAGACCATTATTTAACAATATGTTAAGGAGTCATTACAGTTATACAGTCTTACAATTATAACTGGCTCTTTGAGGGCAAACATAATGCTTATGTGGCCCAGGATGAAAATGAGTTTGACCTCCCTGGTCTAGAGTCAACTCCAGGTCAATGTAAATGTTGAATATCGTGGCTCTAGCAGTCTACATACATTTGGGCGAGTTCAAAGTTTTGAAAATGCAAGGTGCTTTCAAAACAGATTTTTCACAGGTTGTCTGTTCCGTGCACTGCCAGGACTAATAGATTAATCCTGAAAGGCTGCTGATGTAGCATTTTATTTACTTATAAAGGTAGCTCTGGTGACTGTCTGACCAGTGAGGATTTGCTTGGTTGAGAGCAAGTTGACCCGAAGACTATAGCTATTAGTTATTTCTTGATTTAACAGCTTCCTTCCTGTTATAAAGATCTCTAATTTATTATTACACATATTGTCTGACAACATATTCCCTATCTAAACTATCTTTCTCCATGTAGGCGTGGGATCCCAGCTGAGCCGCTGTTTTCCAGCTACTGTCAGCGGGAGTACAAAGGAATCTGAGAACCACTGAAAGGCTGGTCCTCAGAACAGAAAATGGAAAAGGGAAGCAAATCCATACACTGTCAGCTCCACGCTTGTATTTTAAATTGAAGAATCAAATCCTACACTGCCTTTTGTAGAGATATCGCTGTACTGATGAACTCTGAAACACATTGTCCATTTTAAAACTGCTCCACTGAACTTCTGATCACGTATTGTTGGACATCTTGCAATTATGACTGCACTCTTTGTTTTTTTATGAATGTTTCTATAGTTGATTGTCAATAAAACGTTGTCATTTCAAGTGCTACTGTGGTGTTTCATGTAAAAACAAAAAAATAGGGGTATGAAATAATTGGTTGCACCTTTATTTGGCATCCAACTAACAACATGGTCATCTATAGCTAGAAATGGATATTTACACTATAAATTTACCCAGGCTGCTCATCAGTAGTAAAGTCTAGTTACTGGAAGTCCTGGAGAAGTCATGTCTCTGTTTAGGAAGGCCTCTGGTGCTGAACAGTTGGTGAAAAAACTGATCAGAGCAGACCACCCATTCTTTTAAGCAGAGTGTTCTGTTCCTGAGAGTTCATGGCTTCGTAGGCGTCCAGCTCCAGGGAGAAGGTGGCGTTGCCAGATGTTACAGTTCGCAGGACAGTGGAGTATCCCTGTGCAGGGAAATGGATTTTAATAACACATCTACAGTAAGTGCTAAAACAAAAAGGCAACCTAACTTGACTGAAATTCTTGAAGATATTTCACCAACAGGAACTTAAGTGCCTGGGACTCTCCACCAGTCAGTACTAAAATAGTTCAGATGACTTTAATAATCTCAAGCAAGTCTAGTTGCCTTCGTTTTACCACTTGGATGCACCGTGAGCTCTACAACTAAGAATCTTCACAGACAGATTAGAATAGTAAATCATTTTCTGATTGGCAAATTAAACCAAACAACACTGAAAACGTGTGACTTGAACATCATCTCACCATCATCTCAGCCAGGGGCACAGTTGCTAGCAGCACCTTGTTGTCATGACGACTCTGGATGTCTCTGACTGTCCCTCGTCTTTGGGCTAAGTCTCCCAGCACAGAGCTGAGGTGTTCCTCTCCGACGGTCACCTCCAGGGACATGACTGGCTCCAGGACCTGCCCTCCCGCCAGCCTCAGGGCCTGCATCCAGATAAGCAGAGCTGTGGTTCACCTGTTGACGATGCTGTCGTTTACAGTCACAGCAGTAAATAAGAACTGTTTACCTTAAGCATGCAGCGAGACACGCAGGCTGACACCATGGCAACTGACGTCCCTGGCTCCACTGTCACGCTCTGGATCAGTGTGGATACATTCTGTACGGGGCAACCTAGCACTGGACCTGAGGGTGGAAGCCAGCATGAAAACCATTTGTTTATCTGAGAGATGTCCTAAGTAATATAGTCTGGAAAGACCAAAAGAGCTTTACGCCCACAGTACCTGAATTCTATAAGGTGCCAGAAAACATATTTCTGTAATCTCATTAGTTTTAGCAACATTTATATAACTCATGGGTCATGTATACTGAATGAGACAATATAATATCTACCTTTCTGCTGTTTGGTCTTAAGCAAGCTGTACTTTATATTATAGCAATGTGTGTCTCTTTTAAATTACTGTGTGTGTGTGTGTGTGTGTCTGAGATGCATGTAGGTCAGGTGTTTCTTATAAAACAATAACTTAATCTCAGTGATTAAATACGTTTTACACCCTCACTCCTGATAAAGCCGGTCAGCTGAGTTCACAGGGTTAAACAGTAACTACGGCTGTTTTTCTCCCCTTAAATGTAGTTTAACTGTTTATTTAGTTGTGAATATTTGACATTACAGAGATATCTTAAGTTCAGTTCTTCTGGGCACTAATAAGAGAAGGCATTAGTTTAGTCAGTGTTACCGTGCAGATATGAGCTGTGCACTCCGTTCTCCACGGCCTCTTTGATTCCTGGTTGAAGCTGTGCCTCCAGTTGTTCTGTGAAAGCTAATTCACAATGACCACCTACAGAGGTGACATCCACGGGTCTGACAGCCAGCTCCACCGTCACAACATGCCTTCTCTCCCCGACTGTCCGATCCAGTGTATCTACATCATTTAGGAGCAGAGATTTGGACTGCAGTATGTAGCTGACAAAAATGATCCCACTGTGCCCCATCTGAAAACTAGTTGTACCTGTAGTCGAGACCTCGTGGAGGATCGTCTCTCTGTAAGCCACTTGCAGCGGTCCAAGGTGAGTCTCGATGCCATACTCTCGTCTGATTCGATCATGGATGATCTCGATGTGCAGTTCTCCCATCCCGCACAAGATGGTCTGAGGAGGAGGAGGGAGGACATTCAGCTGGATCATTGTAGAGGATGCTCTGATGAAAGTAAGTTGAGTGACTGCATTACCTGACCAGAATCGGGGTCGACTCGGACTTTCAGACTGGGGTCTTCTCTCTGGAGGCAGTTGAGGGCATTCTCAAGATCTTTCAGGGAACAAAAAAAATTATGTGTGATAGTGTTGGAATAAATATTGAAATCCTTCCCTCAAGTAAAAGCACCCACAAAGAAATGTTCATAATTCTCCATAACAAGTAAAACGTATGTATGAAAACCTTCTTAAATAAAAGCACACAAGGATTTGCAACAAAATAAAGTGAAGGAAAAGTACTACTTTGGTCCCTCTGACTGATGTACAACTGTACGTGGAACTATAAGGTTATAAACAGTGAAGCATCAGTGTGTCAGCAGCATGTTAGTGGTGTAGCTGCAGGTGGAGCCAGTTTGAACTACATCAAGCACAGTCTTCTATGCAGGGAGAGCAGATTAATCTGAAGACTGGTCACATGAATAATGGAAGAGGAAAGAAAAAAATAAAATTAGTTCTGATAAACATATTTGTTGTCAGTTTTTGGATGTTCTCTCAAATTTTTGGTGACATGATGGATCATTTAAACTTTACTGAAATGAAACAACATAAGAAGATGAGAAGACAAAACCCACTGTTTGGTGGAGCTGTTGACAACTTGTTGACATCTGAAATGTGAGGCCAACTACACACTACTTTTTGCAAGACGTAGAAGCCTCAAAGGTTGAGAAGTACTGGTTTAATCTTTAACAATGTGCTGTTTTTTAAAAACTGTTATTTTATTTAATGTGTAAAATCTACATCTTAAAAGTACCTACAGCTGTTAAATGTGGTGGGGTAGAAATTACAACATTTTCGACAGAAATGTAGTGGAGTGGAACTATAAAGTCGTATAAAACAGAAATAGTCAAGTTAATCACAAGTACCTCAAACTATGCTTAAGTACAGCCCTTGAGTGAATGTACTTAGTTACTTTTTATCGCTGTGTGTGAGTGACAACATGGTTGCTGCAGCACAGCTAGACCCTAATGCAACTATAAATACGATCACTGCTACTGACCGGCCTGTTTGGCCATGGTGGGTGGTTCTATGGTGCAGAAGAAGACAGGATCAGGGACCTCCACTCCTGAGAGGATAATGTTGGCATGTTCTCCTCGTTTCTTCCCCGCCCCGCTGTCATTCTGGGCTCGGCGAGCTGCAGCTGCTGCTGATGCCTTGGATGAAACGATGGTATCCCCTGTGACTGTCTTAGGTGAAAGTAGAAGACATAAAGAGCCTTTTAAGGAGGAAAATCTCCAAATAAGCAGGCTGACAACGTGATGTAGCACAATCTACCTGCTTCAGTCCGACAGTCAGTGCGATGTTGCCCGCTGATATCGAGGGGATTTCCACATTCTGATCAGCAAACGGCACTAGCAGCCTGCTCATCCTCTCACTGTGGACATAAGCGTTTCCACATATTGATTAGTTTGTGACACTACTGTGAACATCCGAGGTTAATCAGGCTTGTAAAGATGAAACTAAAACACCTACGTGCTGTTCCTGTTGATGTTGTGGACGGCTGTCTGCGGTTTCAGGGTGCCAGAGTAGATCCTGAGGAACACCAGAGGCCCTCGCTGCTTGTCATGAAGAACCTTAAAAGCCAGCGCGCATAAATCATCTTTATACCACCGCCTGAGGGATGATAAATGATGAACAGAGCTTACGGTCAGACAACAAAGATCCAATATGTATATGTACATTTTCTTATAATTGCATAGTATAGTCACTGGGGCAGAATTAGTCTAAAATGAGCTTTTAAAGGCAGATAACATCTGTCAGGCTAAAAGTTTATAGTTTTTCTTGAAAATGTTACCAAAAATAAATATAACATGTTTTGCATTTAAGCTGAAGTAACTTTCCTATTTTTCCTAGTGAATGTGTACAACTAAGAAGCTCTGTATTTTCTGTTTTTGCATCTGTCAGTGAACCATCACGATGAGTAATGATAATATTATGTTAATTCCACTCCAGGAGAGACTGGATGTTCTCTGCAGATAGGTGGAAAAATATGCGCATATATCAGCAACCAGCCAAAAATCCAATGTAATACATTACTATTACACAGTATGTCAGAGCAATCAATGTCTGCAAAGCCTGAAAAACCCAAAGGATACGATGCATTTCTCATCACCCACTTTTGTCTCTCTATGATTTCTGTATTGTCCACTCTCAAATCAAACTTTGTGGTTTAGAGATGAAAATAAACAGATGAATAAAAATATCTTTCATCCGCTACAGTCCATCAAATTAAGAACATGAAGGTTGCAAGTTACAACACATTCTCCTTTACATGCAGTGTCTTGTCACTGTAGTTGTTTAACCACATATTTTGTAAGTAAGCAAAACAATATGAAACTTCTACAGTCAGGGATTTTCTTGGCTCAGAACTGCCCTTTAGCCCTTTATAGGACGGTGGAGTGAGAGGAACCGCCTTCAGCTCAACGTGACAAAGACCAAGGAACTGGTGGTGGACCTCAGGCAGCCTAAGGCTGCAGGGACCCCCACCGACATCCATGGGTCAGTGTTGAGGTGGTGGAGAAGTACAAGTACCTGGAGGTGTACTGGGACAGGAATATGGAAACTGTTTACAGGAAGGGCCAGAGCCGCCTATTTTCTGAGGCGGCTGAGGTCTTTCAACATCTGCTGGATGATGCTGAGGATGTTCTACGAGTCTGTGGTGGTCAGCACTATCATGTCTGCTGTTGTCTGCTGTTATCAGCCTGCAGTGAGGGACACCAACAGACTCAACATCAGGAAGGCCAGTCAAGTTGTAGAACAGGAACTGGACTCTCTGACAGTGGTGTCTGAGAGGAGGATGTTGTCTGAAATCAGGACTATGCTGGACTTTCCTTCTCATCCTCTCCACAACATGCTGACCAGCTGCAGGAGCTCAGCAATAGACTGTTGCTGCCATGCTGCACCACAGAGCCACACAGGAAATCATTCCTGCCTGCTGCCATCAAACTGCTAAATTCCACACTTTAAATATGATAGTAGACACCGTTTTAGCACAAATCTTCATACAATCTGCACCTTAACTGTATATATGTGTAAATATGTTTTCTTTTAGCCCTGTGATAGACTGGTGACCTGTCCAGGGTGTCCCCTGCCTTCACCCTAAGTCAGCTGGGATAGACTCCAGCCCCCCATGACCCTAGTGAGGAATAAGCGGTGTATAGATGATGGATGGATGTTTTCTTTTTGAGGTTGATATTTTTTGTACTGTGATATTTATTTCTCGATTACCTTTCACCTATCCATCCATTATCTATACACCGTTTAATCCTCACAAGGGTCGCGAGGGGGCTGCAGCCTATCATTACCTTTTATGTATCTATTTATTCTTTATTTTTTATTTTACTCTTATATTTCTATCTTTATTCTTGGGCGGGAAATGTGCATGTAATGAAAAAGAATTTCCCCTCAAGGATAAATAAAAGTATTTCAGATTCTGATTTAGGAGGTGACTAAGCACGACAGTAAGTGTGATCGGTCCGCATACTGGAGAGGAAATGAGTGTGTGCTACCTTATTTGCATTTGATAAATAAAAAATGTTGTTATGCAGGAGAAAAGAAAATCCCCCAATTAGCCAAACTGGTTAAAGAATATATACAGTTTTCTTTTTTTTTAAATCATTTTTGTGTTGGTGACATTCCTTTGGTCAAAGTCTTTTTGGAGGCACCAGATATGTCTTGTTGCATGAAATACACAATGTGATCTAAGATGGTCCTCCTGTGGTACATGAAGCACATATTTCATATGTCATATGTCCTATATTCTGTAATTCAAGGTCATAACAGTTCTGGTCTGAGCTGGTTATGGGTTAAAGCGTTTACTCACACCAGGTCATGGTGTCGTTCATTGGGAGCAGGCAGGTAGGCTGTGATGGCGTCTAAAAGAGGCTGAACACCTTTGTTTCTCAAAGAACTCCCGCACAGCACTGGGACTCCTCTACGGGCCAGAGTCACCCGCCGCACAGCCTCCTGTAGCTGGAGACACATTCAGCGTTGGTAAGTGTGAGTTCGCAAGTGCTGCTGCGCTTCATAGCTTCATGCTGCTGTGCAATATAAGGCAAGACTTACCTTGATGGAGGGAACACCATCAAAGTTGTCACTAAAACTGGTGAGTAATAGTTCAGCAAACTCATCGTCCAGATCAGCAACCTGCGGTTAAAAACAGAAATACTAACTGGAAGAAAAAATCTGAAACATCTTATCATCATTATTAAAAATGTATTCACTGTAAATGTTCCAACACGTACCTGCTCAATTAAAGCTGTCCTGGCCTCGCTGACCTCCTGCAGCAGGTCTGGATCATCAGACTGGTCAAGAGCTTTGGCTTCAAACACTCGTCCGTCTTCTGTCACAGACTTCGGCTTCCATATCAGCTTCTGGCTGGTTAACAGGTCGACCACGCCTGTGAAGTTCTTGCCGCTGCCAACAGGAATCTATGAAACGGGATTCATGAGGAAATTATCATACAATGTGATAAGTATGGCTTGTTTTTTCAATGAAGTCCCTACAAACTATTTGATATTTAAATACATTTAGATACACTGGCTTATTATTAAAACTGATGTTAAATATTAAAGTCTGTTTACAGGTTCAAAAGAATACCACTGCATATGTAAAAGAGCTGTGTGAAATCTGATGAACTGAAGTGATGAGTCATTGCAGGCTGGAAATCAAAAGTTTGAATCTAACAAATACTGCTTTCATAACCTGTATTTACTCTTTCTTTTGTTGTATTTAAAACCTTGGAGCACACGTTGAGGGACAACTCTTAAATATCAATGATGCTCAGGTGTATATAATAAATACATAACTGCTTAAAATCAAATAGCAATAAAAGAAGAATACATGGCTGTATTAGATAAAAGCTTAATTTAACAATACGATCAAGTGTAGGAATACAACGACACAAATAAACACAACAATGAGACTAAGAACAATTACAGCAAAGAGGAGAAGCTTGGACGTGTCTCAAGGGGATTAAGGTCAACTGTACGTTTAGCTGAATCACATTCTGGTGAAGCACAATAACAAAAAGCTGATCTTATTCACTCTGGATGAACTGATGGCAGCGGCAGGATGAACCATGTCTGTGAGTAAGTGCTGTGTCTAGAAATATTCCACCAGAGCAGGGCTGAGAGATGAAGGGCAGAGCTTTTATAAAGAAGCTGTATAGATAAATAAAAACAAATGCTGATCCCTCCTTGCTGACAAAGCAGGCAAGACATTCTTTTTGATGTAGTCGGCGACTGTGTGTCTCATTACTATCTCCAGTGATGAATCTCGAGGCAGACTGAAATACTGCATCTGAAGGTCTGAGAGTGGAGCTGGCCAGCCATCCATTAATCCCAATAGTCCAACAGAGCAGAAAGCCGCTTCTGCAATTCTTTTTTCTCGTAAATAAAGAAAAACCGTTTCAAAAACAAAAGCCTGGTTTCAGTCTCAGCTTTGACAGCAGCTCATCAATATGGATTTGAAGTTCTCTATTGAACCAAGAGTTGAGATATTTCTTCATTTAATTGTCATTTTAAAAAGGAAATTGAAACATCCTTTTTTCATTTCACACATGTTGCAACAGTCAGACCTTTTTCAACTCAGACAGCTGCTATTGTAATTTCTTTTTAACTGGATAACATATGAAGGCTACAGGAAGAACTACAGCTGTTTCAGAATTCTGCATTAAGAGTCCTAAAGGTCCAGTCAGAACCACTGGATGTCACTAGAGCACCTGCATCTCAGACCAAAACAAACAGGGGTGTCAGCCATGCATTCCCTTTCCTTCACTTTCATTTACATCCAAAAAGGCTGTTCACACAAAAGCCAACAAAAAATAATCCCACCACCACTAACAGCTCACACTAACATTCTAAAATACGTTGAACGATCTCAGCAAGTTGTTGTCCGTTCGAGTTAAGTTGGCCTGTTTCTGTGTCCGTGGTCTGTCAGATCAGACACACAAAAACCAGAGCAGAAATGCAGAAGGATCTGATGCAACAGTTCAAAGGGAGGGACTCACTAACATGCACACATATGGACTAGATGCCGAAAGACAGAAAAAAAAAGCTCAGATTGCAACACGCACACAGAGAAGGTGTGACTTCAATCTCTTCTAAGGACACCATTACTATATCTCCTGTATTTCTATATCTTTACACAGCACATAATTGTTAGCTGCTGTATCAATTCTGTAAAATGTTGCACTTTTAACTTAAAGAAACCAGATCATATCATATCAGACACTGCATTGGCCACCTGTGTCTTTCAGAATTGACTTCAAGTTCTTTCTTTGTAAAGCTTTAAATAACTCTGCTGCTCCCAGAGATTTTCTTTCATTCAATGTTCCAACCAGATCACTAGCGCCCTCCACTGCTTTCCTTTGAAATGTCAGTGAGGCTGCCTTCTGCTGTTAGGCGTCTAAACTGTGGAACCACACATGGTAAACGCTCCTCATATTTTAAAAAGGGAATAACAAAGACCTAACATTTAACCTGGCTTTTAATTTAATGTTATAGACTGATTTTATAACTTCAGTGTCCAAATTCTAATCTTTGTTTGTTGTTGTTAAATTCTGTTTAACCCAAGCATTGATCCAGAGGTCATGAATGAATGAAATGAAATGAAATGAAAAATACTTTATTTATCCCAGAAGGGAAATTCAATAAAAATTTCATGCTTTGTTTCTGGAATAAACTGAGGTAGAACGCTTCGTACTGAATCATTCATATATTTCATTAGTAAGATATGTTTACATGCTAATTAAGTATAGTCATTGTAAAGAAAGGCTTTAATGGCATGTCATAGTTACCGTTCATCAAGAGATAGATTATTATTACAGACTGTAGTTTTTAAAGGCCTACCTGCAGGAGGACTGGATTGGCTTTCAATTTCTCTCTTATGCTTTCAATGGAGAAACTTAAGCTGTGAAAAAAAAATAAAAAAAATCAAAGAAAGTTTTTAGTTCAACTTTGTGAAAGAAAAGCAAGCAAAGCTTGCTGTAAAAGGTCAGGCGTTGGGTCGCTCACTTCGCTGCAGGCTTATCCATCTTATTCAGGAAGCAGACACAGGGGACGTGGTGCTTCTCTGCTTGTCTCCACACGGTCAGAGTCTGAGCCTGTCGGTGTTTTAAAGGCAACAGAAGCCATCAATTATATGCTGAATTTTTTTTAACGAAAAGCGAGGCCGTTTTAAAGCAGTGAGCTAACCTCGACACCAGCAGATGCATCAAACACTGCAACCGCTCCGTCGAGAACACGAAGCGCCCGCTCCACCTCCAGGGTGAAGTCAACATGTCCTGTAACCACACAGACAGGCTCAATCCAGCAGCTGCTCCTTCTCATTTACAGTATGATATTTTATTCTCAAGCTGGAGTATTTTTACCTGGGGTGTCTATGAGGTTTATTCTATGGCTTTTCCAATCAAACGTGACTGCTGCTGACTGGATGGTGATGCCGCGCTCCCTCTCTTGAGCCATAAAATCTGTGACCGTATCTCCGTCATCTACATCTAAAAGCAACAGAAATAAACTGATAAACAAACATGCAAATTACAGACAATAAACAATGTCCACGAATTGATTTCCCCACACACACCTCCTAATGCCCTTGTATAACCAGAGTAATAAAGCATCCTCTCTGTGGTCGTCGTCTTTCCTGCATCAATGTGAGCCATAATGCCGATGTTTCGGATCCTGCAGATACATTCCACTGGTTAGCGTGAATCCTAGAATAACATCCAAATCAGAGTTTTGTTTCAGAAAGCAATTACTTACTTGGAAATATCAGGGTTGACCACAGCCCGCAGGGATTTGATTTCATCTGTGAAGTAAAGTTACGATGATTAACAGAAATAGTAAAGGCATGTATGAGTCTCTACTGACGTTGTGTAGTGTCTCACTGATTAAAGATTAAATCATTTTGTCAACAAAATGTCAATAAAATGTAAATAATAACAACACAAACTTTGTCAACTGCTTACAGTGGCACGCAAAGTCTGGTGGAAATTTTTGTTACTGCAAATAAATAAATGCAGAATGAATGGAGCTTCCAAAAGGCATAAAGTTAAAGGTGAAACATTCAATTTAATATTCTAAGCAAGATTAGTTTGCTATTAGGGATGCACGATATATCAGCGACCACATTGGTATCGGACGATTGTTTTATCCAATATATCAGTATCGGTGCAATGAACAAATTTAACTGATGTGAAAAACCAATGATTGTCTAACAGCAGCACCTTCGTCTCTACATTTGATATTGCTTCTATTTCACAGATGTTTTTACTTAAATGGTTCAGGGTTTGAACGTTAAATATGTTTAAATATGTTTTACTTTTGCTACATAATAAACAAGACCATGCGGTCTAATATGGTATGGGCTTCTTTTGAATAGTTTTAATGTTCTCACAGTGCTCACTTATACTCATTTTTCAGTGTGAACAAAAATTGAATATTGACATTGGTAAGACTGATTATCGGCGATATCAGAATATTAATATCGGATATCGGTATCGGCCAGAAAGGTTAATATCATGCATCACTATTTGCTATGTTAGTTTTGTACAATTTTAGAGCGATAAAAAAAGGGAATCTGATTTTAAAAAATGTTTGGGTACCCCAAGAGATGTACCCAAACAGCTCTCAGATAGCTTTTTACCAGTGTCTCAGAACCCTATTAGCTTTTTTAAGGCTATGGCTTGTTCACAGTCATCGCAAAGAAAGGCCACCAGTGATGCAAATTTCAAAGCTATATAAATACTCTGACTCCTCAAATTTAGCAGCGTCTACTCTAATACTCTAAAATTAAAATATTTGATGCCTGCAAAGACAGAAAAGACTGCACAAAAAACACAACATATTTTCAGGTGTGTGTTTCTTCCTTAACTATGTAATTAAGAAATGGCAGATAATAGGAAAAAAAATATAGAACTTTAGCAGCCACTGGAGTAGTGATTCTATGAGGTGTGTCAGAAAAGTTCCAGGACTGGTGTCACAAAACATATATTTCAAATCCAAACTACAAACTCCAAGTTTTCCCTTTGAAGTAATCCCACTGGAGTCTAACACTCTTTCCCAGCTTTCACTGCCACCATGCACTGCTGGAAGGATTCTTCCGGGATCCTCTGTAGCTCCGTCGTCACAGCCATCTTGATGTCATGCACATCTTCAAAACAGGTCCCCTTGATGACCCCTTGAGCTTGGGGAAGAGGAAACAATTCCACGGAGCCAGGTGGGGTGAGTAGGGAGGTTGCTCAACTCATGAAGTTATTATAGATGTTTTTAGTCTCAATCACTAAATGTATGTTTGGAGAAAAAAGGCTGGAAATTTTAGAAAGAGAACAACTCTGAAAAAAGTCCACAATTATCAGTCAAACCTCAGCATCTATATCATTTAAATTATGTTTAATAATTGTTCACCAACTCTGGAATCGTTAGTTAGCCACTGCTTGACAAATTGATCAACTACAAATCCATCCATCCATCCATTATCTGTACACCGCTTAATCCTCACTAGGGTAACGCAAGGGGCTGGAGTCTATCCCAGCTGACTCAGGGTGAAGGCAGTGGACACCCTGGACAGGTCACCAGTCTATCACAGGGCTACACTTAGAGACAGACAACCAAGCCCACTCACATTCACACCTACGGACAATTTAGAATCACCAGTTAACCTCAACATGTTTTTGGACTGTGGGAAGAAGCCGGAGAACCCGGAGAGAACCCACGCTGCACGGTGAGAACATTCAACTACAAATCAATTCATTTAAACATGTACTTCTGAAAACAACATACCTGGAAGGAAGCTGTAGTGTCTGTTCAGATGACAGCTCAGTCTACAGCGCTGCAGCCCAGCAGTCAACAGATTCCTCCCCTGAGAACAACAGCAGCCTGTTAACAGTCCACAGGGAGTATACAGAGTTTATCACCGACAACACATATTGTAGAAACCTTATACTTACCCACATCATCCTGCTAAAGGTCTGCAATGCTCTCCCAGGCATCTTTAATGTTGTCCTATCCTCCAAACTCCTTCCTCAGGATGAGATAAAGCTTCACTCCTACTGGAGGAACATCAGGAGGAAGACTGGACGAGCAGAGTCAGCTCATTACGAACAGACACCAAAACACGAGGACAGACCGGTGGAGTTTTAATTAACAGTTAGTCTGATACTGAGTTTATACAAAAATGAATGCATTTTCACGTCCTTCTTAGCGACGCTCAAATGTCACGCTTTGAGGCACGACCTCAAAATACGTCCCCGGCACACCTGAGAGTTTGTGATGTTTAGTTCCGTGTATGAAAGACACGCTCCGGTCAGTAATATCGACTCTGAATCGCCTCGTATACTTACAAAATATATGTATAGCTTTTATATCCGATCTGAATATCAAATACGTTTTTATACTCGTTTTACAATAAGCTTTTTAAAAAAAAAACTACAGCCGTCCATATCAATTCACCGGATATCCGGTTATCACATGTTGTCGTACTTCCTCTAAGTATCGGCTACGGGGAAAACAACACCTAAAGACCCCGAGCCTGAAGCAAGAAACACCGAATACTCTGTGTTTTCACCAGCTGTCACCACCTACAGCCTCTTCATCGTAACACGTAACGCCCTTCACACAAAATGGTAAGAAAACAACTCATTTAAAGGCTATTATTTAGCTTTTATCACGCGGGTTAGCGCGTTAGCTCTTCGTGCTAGCGTTAGCTTCGGTGTACATGTGGCCTCGCGGCTCATGGCAGGTGTTTTTATGAGAACTGTTTGACCCCTATGGCAGGTCGTTTTGACGTGTAAAAGTTAGACTAAATCCGAAATGTAATCCCTCCTGTTAAAAAAATAACGGTTTAGATATCCATCATTTCATTTTTTCAGTCCAAAACAGCCCAAAATGTCTCCACTCACAGATGTTGAGCATTAATGTGAGCTTGTTTACATCCATTCCTGGTGCCCATCGGTTTTTCATCTTTAAACGTTGAATCTATAGTGGCATTATCAAACCCCCTTGAATTTAACACCACCAAGTGTGTGATGTTATCAGACGGACATGTCCAGACATGTTTTACTGTAATACAACGCTGTATTGTACATTCAATGTTGCTGTGGATCCGAAGCCATCTGGCTCAGCAAGTGACATGTTTATCTCTCTCGTTTTGTTCACGTTATTGGATTTTTTATTTTTTATATATATTTTTAGCAACAGCAATAATAATAGTAATAACAATAATAATTTTTATTATCATAGCTACACTTTCTACAACGAATGTCTACAAAGGGCTTTGACAGAAAAAGCTAAAGCAGGATAACAAGAATGCAATGTACAACAATAAAATAACAAAAGTCACAAATGTTTAAAAAAAACAACTAATAACTAAAATAATCACTACAAACAAAATCAATAAAAAAGAACTTAATATGCAATAAAAGTCATAACGAAATCTAAAAGAAGTAGTTTTTAAGATGTGATTTTAAAAAACTATTCAGGCAGGTTGGTACAAAGCTGACCTTTACATCTGACTGTAGTTTCTATGATAGAACACACAGAGATACGAGGAACATAGAGATTTATTTCTGCAATTAATAATTGTTTACAATACTCTAAACCAGTCAGTCTTTTTTTCCCATTTAATCAATTAAACGCTTCACATTTTTGCTTTTAAAAACATACAGTGTTAGGGATTTTTTTCTTGTACAACAAACAATCAGTTGACAGATTTGTTTTTTTTCCCCGTTTGTTCCTAAGCATCAGTTTAATACTGTATACAAAAATGTAAAATTTTAAAATGCAGAATGTCTGAGATATCAGCTCCTGAAGCTTCCACCATCAAGAACATTGTTGGGTCGTATCTGTCCAAAGCTTGAGCCCCTATGCAGTTCACAAAATTCTGTGAAGTAGTTTTACTTGGAAATAGAAGGGGAAGATTTCTGCACAAAGCGAAAGCTTTTCTACTATTTGCCTTTGTAATTCAGTTTAATTGAATTTCATGTTTGTTTTTTTTTTTTTAGCCTCAGAACGAGCATATTGAGTTGCACCGCAAGCGGCACGGCTACCGCCTGGACCATCATGAAAAGAAAAGGAAGAAGGAGAGCCGTGAGGCTCACGAGCGCTCCCACAAAGCCAGGAAGATGATTGGCTTGAAGGCCAAACTGTACCACAAACAGAGACACGCAGAAAAGATCCAGATGAAGAAGACGTGAGTGGAATAGGACAAAAACTGGTTATGTCTTTCTAAATGTTGGCTGTTTGGAAATACAACACATAAGAAATGTGCCACAATTCTGACTTGTGTCTTTACAGCATCAAAATGCACGAACAGAGGAAGACCAAACAGAAGAATGATGATAAGACCCCAGAGGGAGCAGTGCCAGCCTACTTGTTGGACAGAGAGGGACAGTCCCGCGCTAAAGTTCTCTCCAACATGATCAAACAGAAGAGGAAAGAGAAGGCTGTGAGTATTTGTTGAAATAAGCATGTCAGCTGCTTTTCTGTAGCATCTATAGTAAAAAAAAAATGTGATGGTTTATATTATGGTGGCTTGGTATAGCCCCACTGGTTCGTAAACACAAACATCATTTTTTCTCCAGGGGAAATGGGAGGTGCCCCTGCCGAAGGTGCGCGCTCAGGGCGAGACAGAAGTGCTTAAAGTCATCAGAACAGGAAAGAGACAAAAGAAAGCCTGGAAGAGAATGGTCACAAAAGTCTGCTTTGTTGGCGACGGCTTCACCCGTAAACCTCCAAAATATGAACGCTTCATCAGACCCATGGTAAGATCACAGTGTAGTTTGACTTTAAATGTTCCAAATTATATTATTTGAGTCTGTGTTTAAAATAATCTTCAACAACATTCGTGAAATCTAAATTGGTGTTCCTTCTCTTTGTTCTATTTTTAGGGTTTGCGTTTTAAGAAGGCTCACGTCACACATCCAGAGCTGAAAGCCACATTCTGTCTTCCCATCCTCGGAGTGAAGAAGAACCCTTCCTCCCCTCTCTACACGTCTCTGGGAGTCATCACAAAAGGAACAGTCGTAGAGGTCAATGTCAGCGAGCTGGGCCTGGTTACACAAGGAGGAAAAGTTATCTGGGGTGAGTCCACAATTCTGTGTGAATCCATAAAACCACCGGGTGGTTCACATGATTACCCGTTTTGGGAATAGCTCAGATTAGTCTGTAAAAAATAAATCCAGCTTCCATTTTCAGTTTAAAGGGTTAAAGAAGCAGATTAGGACAGCTACATATTTCTGTACGAACCTGGAAATCTGTGTATTATAAACTGCATTTAACCCAGATGGTGGAAAAACATCAGCTTGGAAAACAATGGTCTCATCGTATCTCACCAATATCTATTCACTTAAAATATATATATATTTTAATTAGTTTCTCAAAATGTGATATTTAGTGTAAATATTGTATAGATGATAAACCAGTAACTAATATGCCTTTTACTTTCCAGGTAAATACGCCCAGGTGACAAATAACCCAGAGAACGACGGCTGCATTAATGCAGTTCTACTGGTCTAAGACTCTCAGCCTGTGTGGTAACTGCCCAGGAACTCTTAATTTACATTAAGAGTGTAGATTACATCAAAGATGCGACAACCAATGGCCTTCAATTCACCAGACTGTCATGAGGATCGCCGATGCCATGCTTGGAAACGTTTTTTGTAACAAAAAGGACACTCAAAGATGAAGAAACGGGATGATTACCGTGTTAAACTTGATATAAATAAACTTGATATGATGTCATATTTCTTTTACTTCTACACTTTGCGTCCTTCTAGCTTTTACATGGGGGTCTATTTACAGCTGATGTAACCAGATCTTTTGTGGCCACATTGATGCACATGGACACAGGCCCAACACATGAAGCGTAGATTTAACAAGCCTTGTTCACATCAACAGAGTAGCACATGTTACACTTCAAGTCGACAACATCATAAACAAAGTAAAAGGAAACTACATCATACAATACAATGGCCCTACAATAAATGTGAGTATAGCTTTTAGGACTTTCCCTTTTTGCCACATTGCAGCATTTTGTAAAGTTTGTTAGGTAGTAAAATAAACATGGCTAAAAAAAATTGGTTCTATTAGATTTAATAATCAGTGTCCTTTACCTCTCATAGATCTGATGATCTGTAAGTGAGCTGTAGGGATGTAAAAGAGGCTGGTGAACCTCAGCAGAGTTCTCATGTGAAAGTAGGAAACTTGAGTCACCAGAGCAGCTGCACAGGGAGGCAGTAAAAGTAGATCCAAGTAGAGGGTGTCATCTGGATGGACTAAAGTAGTGAGAGTGCACCGATTCATTTGAATATACAGCATTACCCAGACAAAATACAACTCTAGTTCAAGTGTTAGTGAGTTTATTTCAGGCACCCAGTGCACTAAATACTGTGCATGTTTATATTAATTCTAATATTAGCTGGCCATGAGTCAGTAATTTAAATACAATGATTCTTTAATCTTTGCTCATCCTGAGGTTCCCCTCACTGTTTCTTTGTCTTCTTAGATTTTGAACTGTCATAAGAAAAAAATCCCAGATGCAGCAGTTAGAACTGTCACCTCACAGCTCCAGCACAAGGCAGCAGACACAAAATAATAAGACAACAGAATTCATTTCTTCTTAGTCTCACCTTTCGTGTCTCTATAATAATTCTTTCCACATCTGTCTACAATAATGTGGATTCACATTCTGGGTCGACTCCTTGATCTGAGCCTTCTTACTGTTGTGGTCTTGGAGAGAGTGCTAAAGAAAACAGACATTAGCTCAGAGATAAATCATTACTTTGAGCTGTATAACTGCAACTGCTTGTATCAACATAAAGTATCTAATGAGCCAGTTTATTTCATGGAGTGTCCTTGTGTTAGTTGAACTGTCAGACATGTCATGTGCTGGCCCTGGATCTGACCCATCAGTTTTTCTGTCATCCTGAGCTGTCAGTCATTTGTTTTTTTTAGACTTTTGTACGTTTTTTTTGTTTTGTTTTCTTGTCTCTGTTCCACACACACACAAACACACACATGCACATACACACACATTTTTGATTGAATCCCACATAAATAACTACATTTCCACAGAAAGCTATATACAGTACTATAAACTAAGTACTTGTGTGAGTCTGCACTATCTGTTGGGTAATTCTTACTAAAGCACATTTAAAAAGCACATTTAAAACCTCCCTGAGATTTGCACCAAAAGGATTTTTCC